ACTCTCTCAGTGCCACTCTTCAAAAAGGAAAATAGAGTAGTAAAAGAAATAAATAAGAAAGATGAAAAACCAGTAGGTGAAGGTTACACTTCCACCCCAGATTCAAAGGCTGTGCTGAAAAAGCTCTCTGTCCACAAGAATAAGAGGCTCTCTGGCAGGTTTTTGTACCCAAGAAAGGCAGAAGCAGGATATGAGAAACTCAATATGAAGTATCAAGAGTGTCTGGATGATGCCCAGACTACAGTAATAGATGCAGATATGGCTGACATTACAACAGAGAATGTATCACAGGAATCAAAGTCAGAAAAAACACCAAAGGACATCCATGACATAGCAAATAGACAGCAGAATTTTGTATCCCTTGCCACGCTCGAGAAAGATGACCGTCTGGGACTAGAGAAAACCCTGAATTCCAATGAGACAAAGTACAGAGCTCAATTGGAAATGGGAAGGCAGGAAGAGCCTATGAAACAAGCTTCAGAAAAAACGAAGATATTCGTGGGGAAGTTTTCTGGAGAGACTGACAGAAATGCAATTTCCCCTACAAGGGAGGAGGGAAGGGCAACACATTCTATGAATGTGAACATAATGAGTAAGGATGGAAGATCTGAAGCCACTTGGACAGAACCAGAGGACCTTCAAACTGCCATAGGATTGCAGGTGGTACCACAGAAGGATTTGAAGTCCAAACAGGAAGTGATAGAGCATGCAGGAGGTACAGTCACTGTTGAAGCACAGAGGTTTGAGTTGCCTTTGAGCCAGAGTCTAAAATCAGAAGCAAGTGAAGTCATGGATGATAGTTTTAACGATATTGATTTTGCAGAAATAGACTGGAATTTTTGTGTTCCAAATGCAAATACAGAAACTAATCATAGGTCAGGAAAAGATATGGCTGATAATCATGCCTTAAAAGGGGATAATGAAGATGCTGGTAAAGGTACCAAAGGCTTTTGTGGATTTTCAACTGGCCTAGGAAAATCAGTGAAAGTCAGCGATAAAGCACTTCAGCATGCCAAGAAACTACTTGAAGATACGATAGAGGATGAATATGTTAAAGACAAAGGATCTAATAAAGAAGACATACAAAACAATCCCAGCCATGTTTCTAAGAATACAGTAGATAAAACAAGTCAAGTAAATAAACATGAGAAAAGTCTATCTAACAAGAAAGATCTGAGACTCATCAGAGGGAAGTGCCATCTCCAGTGTCTGAGTATTTGTTTCATCACGAGGCAGATCAACTAGCTTGTTTAGAAAAGGTATCAAAGGAATCGACTTCAAGTGCCAAATTAGTACAAGATACCAATATTGGCTTTAAAACTGCAAGAGGTACAAGTATTGTGGTTAATCCTGAGGTTCTTAATAAGGTGAAAAGGCTTTGGGCAGAAGAAATGAAACTGGAAGACCAAGAGGGTAAGACCATAAATGTTTTAGATAATACTGAATTTGGTTTTAAGGATAATAAGACTATTTGTGATTCAACTGTTCAGTTGCAAAAAAATCTGCAGATAGCAAATACAAGTTCAGGGTTTGCTACAGCTGCTGGAAAAGCAGTTACAGTTAGTGAGAAGGCCTTGAAAAAAGCATTTGGACTTTTGGAGGAAAGTAGTGAAGAAGCTAAACTGCACTACTTTGGCATAAATGATAGTTTTGATAGAACCAGACAAGTATTGAGAGAAGAAAAAGATGGAAAAACAATCCAGATAAAGAATGAAGTCAGAGATATAACGAATAGTGAAAATTATAAAGAATCCAAGACAAGTAGTTCTTCTTCTGTCCTGAAAACACACAAACATTTGGATAAAAATGAAGAACTAACAGAAGAGTTTGCAGATGTTGATGGTAATTGTAATGATGACAAACTATCCTTTGCACAAACCAAAGGTTCTGCCAAATCCAAGTATTGTGAGCATCCACAACAGTTTGCAGGTTTTTCCACAGCACGGGGCACAAAGGTCAGAATCAGCGATACAGCCCTTCTGAGGGCAAGGAAGCTGTGGGAGGAAGATGAAGCTATCTCAGAACTAGGTGATTTGCCAGATCCAAAGTTTGCGAACACCTTACAAAGTATGGAATTGACTGAAGTTTCTAAAAAGACCAAGGAGAGGGAAAAATCATCTCATTCAAATAAGGGAGCCATTGCTCCATCACCTCATAACTTTCTGGGCTTTTGCACAGGTCAGGGTAAGCCTGTTGAAATCAGCAAAGAGTCATTAACAAGGAGTAGGAATATCTTTGAAGATATTGATATTTCTAAGGATGAGAAGACAAATGGTGCAAAAGTCAGACTTCTGCAGCCAGAATACAAGTCCAAAGATTTTTCAGATGGCAGAGAAGAGGATCTGGAAGTTATTGGAGGCCATGTAGTGGGGAACACAAGTAGTGTCCTGAATATGGAGGAGAAATCAGCTGGTGAGGGAACAGCCCATAATTTTAATCATTGTGAGCATCCACAACAGTTTGCAGGTTTTTCCACTGCACGGGGCACAAAGGTCAGAATCAGCGATGCAGCCCTTCTGAGGGCAAGGAAGCTGTGGGAGGAAGATGAAGCTATCTCAGAACTAGGTGATTTGCCAGATCCAAAGTTTGCGAACACCTTACAAAGTATGGAATTGACTGAAGTTTCTAAAAGTCAGACCAAGGAGAGGGAAAAATCATCTCATTCAAATAAGGGAGCCATTGCTCCATCACCTCATAACTTTCTGGGCTTTTGCACAGGTCAGGGTAAGCCTGTTGAGATCAGCAAAGAGTCATTAACAAGGAGTAGGAATATCTTTGAAGATATTGATATTTCTAAGGATGAGAAGACAAATGGTGCAAGAGTCAGACTTCTGCAGCCAGAATACAAGTCCAAAGATTTTTCAGATGGCAGAGAAGAGGATTTGGAAGTTATTGGAGTCCATGTAGTGGGGAACACAAGTAGTGTCCTGAATATGGAGGAGAAATCAGCTGGTGAGGGAACATCCCATAATTTTAATCAAAACTTTGATTCTCACCGTGGTTTTGTTACTGGCAGAGGGAAATGTCTAAAAGTTAAAGAAGAAACTTTGGAAAGAGTAAGCAAAATGTTTATGGATGAAAATAGTATTACAGAATATGAGAAGAATATGGAACATAATAAAAATAACCTTAGAAGCTTGGTACAATTAAAAATGGAAGGAGAAAATACATCAAATAAGGGAAAGCTTAAAGAACATGAAGAGGAACACATAGAAGAAACATTAGATTTTCTAGATAAAAAGCAACATTGTGCAGATAATGATGAAAAAGAGCGTACACCATCCCCAATATTGGGCTCGCAAAAGAGCACATCAAGATTGGCAGTGCTGGATAGAGGAGTGCCTATTTGTAATGGGAAAAGAAAATTTTCTAAATTGAGGCTATCTGAACTGGACCCAGATAGACAGATTGCAAGACCTTCAAACAAGAGGCTGTCACTTAGAAATTCAAGAACCACAAATGGAATCCCAAAGAAGAGCAACTCTAAGCTAGGAAAGAGAGGTCACTCACAGTCAGACCAAATCTTCCCCGAAATGCACCAAAGTCCAGCTGCAGAATCTGAATCACAGCCCACCTTCCTGGCACCTAGTCCCCATCCACTTCCACCAGATAGTCAGACAAAAGCACAAGACAGCTTGCAGACACAGAAGAAGATCACAGCTTTACCAGACACCCAGGAGATATGTGCTATCACAGAAGCTTTCTTGGAAGATGATTTGAGGGAAGGGAAAGACTCATTGGAGAGTTTTAATAGGAAGAGGTCGAGAGAAGGTTTGGGAAGTGATGAGCCTTCTGGCAAGAAATTCAAAGATGGAGTACCTCAAATGTCTTGCAATCAAATGGAGGACACAGAAGCATATGGTAAGTTTTTTTTTTTCCTACAAAGGATATTTTAGCAATGTGTTGGCTGACGTGGTAGTTATTCTCTTTTATTATATGCAAATATGCATGAAGGAAATCACTATAGGAATTTAGTACATTGAAAGTATATGAGAAATTCATTTCTACATTACTGACAGCTGCTGATGAGGTAGTTGAGTCTGGAAGGGAGATGGCAAGGCTAAAGCAGGGGAAAGTGGCTCGGTACAAAGAGAAGCGCCATGTAACACCCATCCAGGGTGTCCTCCACAGATTTCGGAGTGACAAGAAGCATTCTAGGATCAAAATGCAATCCTTGGGCTCTTTGAAGGTAAGAATAAAGAAAAAAAGTGTTGACTGCAATTTGTATAAAATCTTGAATAATCTCATGGGTAATGTTGAAACAGAGTCTACAGAGCTATAACTCCATTCCTCCATGATTTCCTGTAATGAGTAGGCAGGGACTCTAGTTGAAGTCTTATGATTTGAAAATGAGCATTGGCAGGTCATGGCTTTTGCAGACTGGGAATAATAGATTCCTGAAAAGCATAAATTCAAGTGATGATGTCCAGACACTGTCCTAAAGCAACTACAAAAGAAATGAAAGACCATGATGTTTGTTAATAATGATTAGAAGTGTATCCTCAACAGTATCATTGACTCAACTCATGGTGGTTGTAGTACTACAAGGATTACCATGTTTACCTGCATTATTTTATGCATTTATGGCTTTCTTATTTCACTTTGCACAAATCAACTAATATTAAAGAAAGTTCAGCGGTTGCATTACCCACATGCAATGATAGCAGCTCACGATTCTTTTAATAAACCATAGCGACTATGTAAAGGACCTGTAAAGGTCAGGTGAATCTACACATCTATAAAGTCAGATTTATACCTAGTTTTTTTTTTCTTTTTCTTTCTTTTTTTTTCTGTCATTTCATTACTTTAAAAAATGGCAAGAAAAATTTATTTGGTCATCTTTGAATGTAATTCTGTGTAAATAAAATTACATTCTAAATTTTTCATTTAGACAGTTGTTTTTGCTATATCAATTTACATTTTTTTGTGATATTCTTTCTAGTTGTTTGTCAGAAGAATGAGCAAATAAGTTGAGATGACATGCTTGACATAAAGTCCTC